AGACCAGAGAGAGAGACCCGAGAGAGACCAGAGAGAGAGAGACCAGAGAGAGACCAGAGAGAGAGACTAGAGAGAGAGACCAGAGAGAGACCAGAGAGAGACCAGAGAGAGAGACCAGAGAGAGAGACCAGAGAGAGAGACCAGAGAGAGAGACCAGAGAGAGAGACCAGAGAGAGAGAACAGAGAGAGAGACCAGAGAGAGAGACCAGAGAGAGAGACCAGAGAGAGAGACCAGAGAGAGAGACCAGAGAGAGACCAGAGAGAGACCAGAGAGAGAGACCAGAGAGAGACCAGAGAGAGACCAGAGAGAGACCAGAGAGAGAGACCAGAGAGAGAGACCAGAGAGAGAGACCAGAGAGATAGACCAGAGAGATAGACCAGAGAGAGAGACCAGAGAGAGAGACCAGAGAGAGAGACCAGAGAGAGAGACCAGAGAGAGAGACCAGAGAGAGACCAGAGAGAGAGACCAGAGAGAGAGACCAGAGAGAGAGACCAGAGAGAGACCAGAGAGAGAGACCAGAGAGAGACCAGAGAGAGAGATCTGTGCCAAACAAAGCCGGATCTACCCCAGAAAGTTGAGACCCAGGGAGAGACCAGCCGCAGCAGATCCAGACCTCTCTGGTCTCTCTCTGGTCTCTCACTCCTGGTAACTCGATCCACGGCGCGTGTGGAGGTTGGATAAATGGATTTGTCAGAGTGCCGCTGTTTTGGAGTTGCCTTAATCCGGCGTGCCATCCGGGTTTGTGTTTCACAGCTTTTCGTTGCTTCATTTATTACTCATTAAGAAGGAAGCGAGAGAGAGTGTAGTTTATCATTAATTAGAAATGTTATGATGTTGTTTAATGAGCTAACCGGCTACACTTGTCTCACCGGAGTTTGAGAGTCTGCAACTCTGCTGCTTTACTGCCTTAGGACCCAGGACAACAGTGGGAAAGGTTGCCGTGTTGTTTAGACCCTCAGCGTTTAGCCACAGGGTAGATAGGAACGTGTCAAAGAAAAGTTTTCAGACAAACCTTCAAAAATTAATAGTGATTACTTGAGTCTCTCTCTGGTCTCTCTCTGGTCTCTCTCTCTGGTCTCTCTATCTGGTCTCTCTCTCTGGTCTCTCTCTGGTCTCTCTCTGGTCTCTCTATCTGGTCTCTCTCTCTGGTCTCTCTCTCTGGTCTCTCTCTGGTCTCTCTCTCTGGTCTCTCTATCTGGTCTCTCTGGTCTCTCTCTCTCCCGTCTCTCTCTGGTCTCTCTCCCTGGTCTCTCTGGTCTCTCTTTCTGGTCTCCCTTTAGTCTCTCTCCCTGAGAGCTCCTGGTCTCTCTCTGGTCTCTCTCCTGGTCTCTCTCTGGTCTCTCTGGTCTCTCTCTGGTCTCTCTCTGGTCTCTCTCTGGTCTCTCTCCTGGTCTCTCTCTGGTCTCTCTCTGGCCTCTCTCTGGTCTCTCTCCTGGTCTCTCTCTGGTCTCTCTGGTCTCTCTCTGGTCTCTCTCTCTGGTCTCTCTCCTGGTCTCTCTCTGGCCTCTCTGGTCTCCCTGGTCTCTCTCCTGGTCTCTCTGGTCTCTCTCTGGCCTCTCTCTGGTCTCCCTGGTCTCCCCCTGGTCTCTCTCTGGTCTCTCTCTGGTCTCTCTCTCTGGTCTCTCTATCTGGTCTCTCTGGTCTCTGGTCTCTCTCTCTCCCGTCTCTCTCTGGTCTCTCTCCCTGGTCTCTCTGGTCTCTCTTTCTGGTCTCCCTTTAGTCTCTCTCCCTGAGAGCTCCTGGTCTCTCTCTGGTCACTCTCCTGGTCTCTCTCTGGTCTCTCTGGTCTCTCTCTGGTCTCTCTCTGGTCTCTCTCCTGGTCTCTCTCTGGTCTCTCTCTGGCCTCTCTCCGGTCTCCCTGGTCTCTCTCTCTGGTCTCTCTCTGGTCTCTCTGGTCTCTCTCTGGTCTCTCTCTGGTCTCTCTCCTGGTCTCTCTCTGGCCTCTCTGGTCTCCCTGGTCTCTCTCCTGGTCTCTCTGGTCTCTCTCTGGCCTCTCTCTGGTCTCCCTGGTCTCCCCCTGGTCTCTCTCTGGTCTCTCTCTGACGATGTAATCTCAGTCAGTCTGAGATTACATTTGGAAAGCTGTGCAGCTGTTGAATAGTGATTTGGATTCTGCCACCAACAGAGCGTCTGATTAAAAGTAATAAAAGTGATGAAAAGTTGAGAGTGTAGCTTTGACAAAACTCAGACTCTGAGTTTGACGACGAGGAAGGAGTGAGTAAGACGCTGGACAGGGTCAGTGTGACAGAGGCCAATGGGACGTTCTAGTCACAGCATGGATTACATAGCACTCGAATCGCACCAAGTAGTTTTGCTAATTTTACCACCTGTTTGGGAGGGAGACTTCCATCTTTGTCAGAGGCGATAGGCTCATCATCCCAGTCTCTGGAGAAGTCAGTCCCAAGTGTGAGCCAAGGTGAAGGCCCTCTCGTCTCTGTTGATGGTCCGTATGCTTTTCTTCCTGCAGCTGAGTTGGACAGAGTAGACCCCAGCTGAAGTTGGAGACCTCGGAGTCCTCAGAGTTCTGACTGTTGTGACTGTGTTTGCAGCCGGCTTCAGGAGGAGCTTCCGTCTGAGCAGAAGAGACAAAAAGACTAACAAGACCATGTATGAGTGCAAGAAGAGCGAGCTCTACGACACTGCGGACGTTCCCACCTACGAGGAGGTCACATGGTACTGCAGACCCCCAGGAGCTCGGCACAGACTGGTGGTACTCGTGGGTAAGCTCTCTCACTGTCACATGGATCTAGTCTCTCTCTGGTCTCTCTCTGGTCTCTTTAGTCTCTCTCTCTAGTCTCTCTGGTCTCCCTGGTTGGACTCTCTCTGGTCTCCCCTGGTCTCTCTCTCTGGTCTCTCTCTCTGGTCTCTCTCTGGTCTCTCTCTCTGGTCTCTCTCTGGTCTCTCTCTCTGGTCTCTCTCTGGTCTCTCTCTCTGGTCTCTCTGGTCTCTCTCTCTCTGGTCTCTCTCTGGTCTCTCTCTCTCTGGTCTCTCTGGTCTCTCTCTCTGGTCTCTCTCTGGTCTCTCTCTCTGGTCTCTCTCTGGTCTCTCTCTGGTCTCTCTCTGGTCTCTCTCTGGTCTCTCTCTGGTCTCTCTCTGGTCTCTCTCTGGTCTCTCTCTGGTCTCTCTCTGGTCTCTCTCTCTCTGGTCTCTCTCTGGTCTCTCTCTGGTCTCTGGTCTTTCTCTGGTCTCTCTCTGGTCTCTCTCTGGTCTCTTTAGTCTCTCTGGTCTCCCTGGTTGGACTCTCTCTGGTCTCCCCTGGTCTCTCTCTCTGGTCTCTCTCTGGTCTCTCTCTCTGGTCTCTCTCTGGTCTCTCTCTGGTCTCTCTCTCTGGTCTCTCTCTGGTCTCTCTCTCTGGTCTCTCTGGTCTCTCTCTCTCTGGTCTCTCTCTGGTCTCTCTCTCTCTGGTCTCTCTGGTCTCTCTCTCTGGTCTCTCTCTGGTCTCTCTCTCTGGTCTCTCTCTGGTCTCTCTCTGGTCTCTCTCTGGTCTCTCTCTCTGGTCTCTCTCTGGTCTCTCTCTGGTCTCTCTCTGGTCTCTCTATGGTCTCTGGTCTCTCTCTGGTCTCTCTCTGGTCTCTGGTCTTTCTCTGGTCTCTCTTTGGTCTCTCTCTGGTCTCTCTCTGGTCTCTCTCTGGTCTCTCTCTGGTCTCTCTCCGGTCTCTCTCTGGTCTCGTGTAGCGCGTCAGCACAGATTAACATAATACATAATAACACAGAGTGAATGTGAAATATCAGGGCTTGGAGCTGGGTCCAGTTTTCCAGGCTGGATGTGGATGAAGTGCCTGAGCTTGGAACAGACACAGCTTTAATATTAGAGGAATCATCGAGAACTCAAACTCTATTAGATCTACAAGGTGACAACGCCCCCCCAGGGCCAGCGTGTGACATCACTCTTTAACCCCCCTCTCTCCCGTCTCCCCCCTGTCACTGCTCCATCCACTTCTACCTCAAACAGTCTCTCTTTGGTCTCTCTCTGGTCTCTCTCTCTGTCTCTGGTCTCTCTCTCTGGTGTCTCTCTCCCTGGTCTCTCGCCCTGGTCTCTCTCCCTGTTCTCTCTCTCAGGTCTCCCTCTGGTCTCCTTGGTCTCTCTCTGGGCTCTCTCTGGTCTCTCTCTGGTCTTTCTCTGGTCTCTCTCTGGTCTCTCTCTGGTCTCCTTGGTCTCTCTCATGTCTCTCTCTGGTCTCGCTCTGTCTGTAGGACCTCTCTCTCTCAGGTCTCTCTCTGTGAGGTAGTTCTGAGGATCCACTGGGACAGGTCGTAGTCCACACCGGCTGTCTCCATCTTGTCCCTGAGAAGCCTCGGCTGGATGGTGTTGAAGGCGTTGGAGAAGTCGAAGAACATAATCCTCACAGCGGTGCCGGGTTTCTCCAGGTGGGACAGCGAGCGATGGAGGAGGGAGATGATAGCGTCCTCGACTCCAATGCCCGGCCTGTAGGCGAACTGCAGCGGGTCCATCGCTGGGCTCAGAGTGGAGCGGAGATGTCCCAGAACAGAGTAGCATAGAGTAGAGTAGAGTAGCATAGAGTAGAGTAGCATAGAGTAGAGTAAAGTAGAGTAGAGTAGCATAGAGTAGAGTAGAGTAGAGTAGCATAGAGTAGAGTAGCATAGAGTAGAGTAAAGTAGAGTAGAGTAGCATAGAGTAGAGTAGAGTAGAGTAGCATAGAGTAGAGTAGCATAGAGTAGAGTAAAGTAGAGTAGAGTAGCATAGAGTAGAGTAGCATAGAGTAGAGTAAAGTAGAGTAGCATAGAGTAGAGTAAAGTAGAGTAGAGTAGCATAGAGTAGAGTAGAGTAGAGTAGCAGAGAGTAGAGTAGCATAGAGTAGAGTAAAGTAGAGTAGAGTAGCATAGAGTAGAGTAGAGTAGAGTAGCATAGAGTAGAGTAGCATAGAGTAGAGTAAAGTAGAGTAGAGTAGCATAGAGTAGAGTAGAGTAGAGTAGCATAGAGTAGAGTAGCATAGAGTAGAGTAGCATAGAGTAGAGTAAAGTAGAGTAGAGTAGCATAGAGTAGAGTAAAGTAGAGTAGAGTAGCATAGAGTAGAGTAAAGTAGAGTAGAGTAGCATAGAGTAGAGTAAAGTAGAGTAGAGTAGCATAGAGTAGAATAAAGTAGCATAGAGTAGAGTAAAGTAGAGTAGAGTAAAGTAGAGTAGAGTAGAGTAAAGTAGAGTAGAGTAGAGTAGAGTAGAGTAAAGTAGAGTAGAGTAGAGTAGAGTAAAGTAGAGTAGAGTAGAGTAGAGTAGAGTAGAGTAGAGTAGAGTAGCATAGCATAGAGTAAAGTAGAGTAAAGTAGAGTAGAGTAGCATAGAGTAGAGTAGAGTAGACTACAGAGATTAGAGGCAGCTTGTGAGTCAGTTCAAACAGTATAAAACGGTTGAGTCCAGTTTCTTTTAAGCACTGATCCAGGACACAGTCTATACAGAGACTTGGCTTCTTCCCACCACTAACAACTCAATCCTGGATGAAGCCGAACTTTATCCATCAAATCATTTTCCAGCGGGCGGTTTGGTTCTGGCACTGCTCCAGAATTATGTCACAACAAAATCTGAACAGACCAATCGAATTGTCAGGGCGGGATTCATACAATGATTGACAGATGAGCAACAGAAATGTAAGCAGTGATGTCACATGTTATTTAAGGACATTGGTTTCTGCTCGTTATGGACCAACGGCTCTATGTGTTTTTATCGTTGCATTTCCGTGTTTGAACTGTTTGATTCTCTGATCTGTGTTGGTGAATCGACGGTTTGGTAAAGTTCCCCAAGAAAACTGCTGTTGTGATTTAGGGCGATACAAAAACACACTGAAATTGAAATGTTCTCACACGACATTAGAAGTCTTTTCGAGTCTCCGAATGAGGTCTGAGTGTGCAGTCCATACCAGAGGCTTTTAAGAACAGTGCCTTTCACAGACCAGGATCACAAAGCACTTCACATTTAAAAACATACAGGTAGTAATAAACATATACTAGTCAGATTCAAAAACCAGTGTGAGTCAGTGTGAGTCACTGTGAGTGTGTGTGGGTCACTGTGTGACAGTGTGAGTCAGTGTGAGTCATTGTGAGTGTGTGTGAGTCAGTGTGAGTCAGTGTGCGTCAGTGTGCGTCAGTGTGAGTCAGTGTGAGTCAGTGTGAGTCACTGTGAGTGTGTGTGAGTCACTGTGTGACAGTGTGAGTCAGTGTGAGTCATTGTGAGTGTGTGTGAGTCAGTGTGAGTCAGTGTGCGTCAGTGTGTGTCAGTGTGTGTCAGTGTGAGTCAGTGTGAGTCATTGTGAGTCAGTGTGAGCCAGTGTGCGTCAGTGTGTGTCAGTGTGTGTCAGTGTGAGTCAGTGTGAGTCATTGTGAGTCAGTGTGAGCCAGTGTGCGTCAGTGTGCGTCAGTGTGAGTCAGTGTGAGTCAGTGTGAGTCACTGTGAGTGTGTGTGAGTCACTGTGTGACAGTGTGAGTCAGTGTGAGTCATTGTGAGTGTGTGTGAGTCAGTGTGAGTCAGTGTGCGTCAGTGTGTGTCAGTGTGTGTCAGTGTGAGTCAGTGTGAGTCATTGTGAGTCAGTGTGAGCCAGTGTGCGTCAGTGTGTGTCAGTGTGTGTCAGTGTGAGTCAGTGTGAGTCATTGTGAGTCAGTGTGAGTCAGTGTGCGTCAGTGTGTGTCAGTGTGTGTCAGTGTGAGCGTGTGTGAGTCAGTGTGTGTCAGTGTGTGTCAGTGTGTGTCAGTGTGTGTCAGTGTGAGTCAGTGTGAGTCAGTGTGAGTCACTGTGAGTGTGTGTGAGTCACTGTGTGACAGTGTGAGTCAGTGTGAGTCATTGTGAGTGTGTGTGAGTCAGTGTGAGTCAGTGTGTGACAGTGTGTGTCAGTGTGAGTCAGTGTGAGTCAGTGTGAGTCAGTGTGTGACAGTGTGAGTCAGTGTGAGTCAGTGTGTGTCAGTGTGTGTCAGTGTGAGTCAGTGTGAGTCAGTGTGTGTCAGTGTGAGTCAGTGTGAGTCAGTGTGTGTCAGTGTGAGTCAGTGTGTGTCAGTGTGTGTCAGTGTGAGTCAGTGTGTGTCAGTGTGAGTCAGTGTGTGTCAGTGTCAGTCAGTGTGAGTCAGTGTGAGTCAGTGTGAGTCACTGAGTGTGTGTGAGTCAGTGTGTGTCAGTGTGAGTCAGTGTGAGTCAGTGTGAGTCACTGTGAGTGTGTGTGGGTCACTGTGTGACAGTGTGAGTCAGTGTGAGTCATTGTGAGTGTGTGTGAGTCAGTGTGAGTCAGTGTGCGTCAGTGTGTGTCAGTGTGTGTCAGTGTGAGTCAGTGTGAGTCATTGTGAGTCAGTGTGAGTCAGTGTACGTCAGTGTGTGTCAGTATGTGTCAGTGTGAGTCAGTGTGAGTCATTGTGAGTCAGTGTGCGTCAGTGTGTGTCAGTGTGTGTCAGTGTGAGCGTGTGTGAGTCATTGTGTGTCAGTGTGAGTCAGTGTGAGTCAGTGTGTGACAGTGTGTGTCAGTGTGAGTCAGTGTGAGTCAGTGTGTGACAGTGTGTGTCAGTGTGAGTCAGTATGAGTCAGTGTGTGTCAGTGTGTGTCAGTGTGAGTCAGTGTGAGTCAGTGTGTGTCAGTGTGAGTCAGTGTGAGTCAGTGTGAATCAGTGTGTGTCAGTGTGTGTCAGTGTGAGTCAGTGTGTGTCAGTGTGAGTCAGTGTGAGTCAGTGTGTGTCAGTGTGAGTCAGTGTGTGTCAGTGTGTGTCAGTGTGAGTCAGTGTGAGTCAGTGTGAGTCAGTGTGAGTCAGTGTGTGTCAGTGTGAGTCAGTGTGAGTCAGTGTGTGTCAGTGTGAGTCAGTGTGAGTCAGTGTGTGTCAGTGTGAGTCAGTGTGAGTCATTGTGAGTGTGTGTGAGTCAGTGTGTGTGAGTCAGTGTGTGTCAGTGTGAGTCAGTGTGAGTCAGTGTGAGTCACTGTGAGTGTGTGTGGGTCACTGTGTGACAGTGTGAGTCAGTGTGAGTCATTGTGAGTGTGTGTGAGTCAGTGTGAGTCAGTGTGCGTCAGTGTGTGTCAGTGTGAGTCAGTGTGAGTCATTGTGAGTCAGTGTGAGTCAGTGTGCGTCAGTGTGTGTCAGTGTGTGTCAGTGTGAGTCAGTGTGAGTGTGTGTGAGTCATTGTGAATGTGTGTGTGTGAGTCAGTGTGAGTCAGTGTGCGTCAGTGTGTGTCAGTGTGAGTCAGTGTGAGTGTCAGTGTGAGTCATTGTGAATGTGTGTGAGTCAGTGTGAGTCATTGTGAGTGTGTGTGAGTCAGTGTGAGTCATTGTGAGTGTGTGTGAGTCAGTGTGCGTCAGTGTGAGTCAGTGTGCGTCAGTGTGAGTCAGTGTGTGTCAGTGTGTGTCAGTGTGAGTCAGTGTGAGTGTGTGTGAGACAGTGTGAGTCAGTGTGAGTCAGTGTGCGTCAGTGTGAGTCAGTTTGTGTCAGTGTGAGTCAGTGTGTGTCAGTGTGTGTCAGTGTGAGTGTGTGTGAGACAGTGTGTGTCAGTGTGAGTCAGTGTGTGTCAGTGTGAGTCAGTGTGAGTCAGTGTGAGTCAGTGTGTGTCAGTTTGAGTCAGTGTGTGTCAGTGTGAGTCAGTGTGAGTCAGTGTGAGTCAGTGTGAGTCAGTGTGTGTCAGTGTGTGTCAGTGTGAGTCAGTGTGTGTCAGTGTGAGTCAGTGTGAGTCAGTGTGAGTCAGTGTGTGTCAGTGTGAGTCAGTGTGAGTCAGTGTGTGTCAGTGTGAGTCAGTGTGTGTCAGTGTGAGTCAGTGTGAGTCATTGTGAGTGTGTGTGAGTCATTGTGAGTCAGTGTGAGTCATTGTGAGTGTGTGTGAGTCAGTGTGAGTCAGTGTGAGTCAGTGTGAGTCAGTGTGAGTCACTGTGAGTGTGTGTGGGTCACTGTGTGACAGTGTGAGTCAGTGTGAGTCATTGTGAGTGTGTGTGAGTCAGTGTGAGTCAGTGTGCGTCAGTGTGTGTCAGTGTGAGTCAGTGTGAGTCATTGTGAGTCAGTGTGAGTCAGTGTGCGTCAGTGTGTGTCAGTGTGTGTCAGTGTGAGTCAGTGTGAGTGTGTGTGAGTCATTGTGAATGTGTGTGTGTGAGTCAGTGTGAGTCAGTGTGAGTCAGTGTGCGTCAGTGTGTGTCAGTGTGAGTCAGTGTGAGTGTGTGTGAGTCATTGTGAATGTGTGTGAGTCAGTGTGAGTCATTGTGAGTGTGTGTGAGTCAGTGTGAGTCATTGTGAGTGTGTGTGAGTCAGTGTGAGTCAGTGTGCGTCAGTGTGAGTCAGTGTGCGTCAGTGTGAGTCAGTGTATGTCAGTGTGTGTCAGTGTGAGTCAGTGTGAGTCAGTGTGAGTGTGTGTGAGACAGTGTGAGTCAGTGTGAGTCAGTGTGCGTCAGTGTGAGTCAGTTTGTGTCAGTGTGAGTCAGTGTGAGTCAGTTTGTGTCAGTGTGAGTCAGTGTGTGTCAGTGTGAGTCAGTTTGTGTCAGTGTGTGTCAGTGTGAGTCAGTGTGAGTGTGTGTGAGACAGTGTGTGTCAGTGTGTGTCAGTGTGTGTCAGTGTGAGTGTGTGTCAGTGTGTGTCTGTGTGGGTGTGTGTGTGTGTGTCAGTGTGTGTGTGTCTGGGTGTGTGTCACCGATCCACAACTTCACAGCCGCCCCACTGTGACTCCTGCTGTTCCCCGAGGTCTCCCATCACAGCACTAACCAGGCCCTGTCCTACTTAGCTTCAGAGGTCTGACGGGATGTGGCTTTCAGATGTAGGTAACACCACAATAGACATAAACATACGCACCTCGAGGACTCTCTGGTCCCTCTCTGGTCTCTCTCTGGTCTCTCTCTGGTCTCTCTCTGGTCTCTCTCTGGTCTCTCTCTGGTCTCTCTCTGGTCTCTCTCTGGTCTCTCTCTGGTCTCTCTCTGGTCTCTCTCTGGTCTCTCTCTGGTCTCTCTCTGGTCTCTCTCTGGTCTCTCTCTGGTCTCTCTCTGGTCCCTCTCTCTGGTCCCTCTCTCTGGTCCCTCTCTCTGGTCCCTCTCTCTGGTCTCTCTCTGGTCTCTCTCTGGTCTCTCTCTGGTCTCTCTCTGGTCTCTCTCTGGTCTCTCTCTGGTCTCTCTCTGGTCTCTCTCTGGTCCCTCTCTCTGGTCCCTCTCTCTGGTCCCTCTCTGGTCTCTCTCTGGTCCCTCTCTCTGGTCCCTCTCTCTGGTCCCTCTCTCTCTGGTCTCTCTCGGTCTCTCTCCGGTCTTTCTCCGGTCTCTGGTCTCTCTCTGTGGTCTCTCTCTCTGGTCCCTCTCTCTGGTCTCTCTCTGGTCTCTCTCTCTGGTCTCTCTCTGGTCTCTCTCTGGTCTCTCTCTGGTCTCTCTCTGGTCTCTCTCTGGTCTCTCTCTGGTCTCTCTCTGGTCTCTCTCTGGTCTCTCTCTGGTCTCTCTCTGGTCTCTCTCTGGTCCCTCTCTCTGGTCTCTCTCTCTGGTCCCTCTCTCTGGTCCCTCTCTCTGGTCTCTCTCTCTGGTCTCTCTCTCTGGTCTCTCTCTCTGGTCTCTCTCTCTGGTCTCTCTCTGGTCTCTCTCTGGTCTCTCTCTGGTCTCTCTCTCTGGTCTCTCTCTCTGGTCCCTCTCTCTGGTCCCTCTCTCTGGTCCCTCTCTCTGGTCCCTCTCTCTGGTCTCTCTCTGGTCTCTCTCTGGTCCCTCTCTCTGGTCCCTCTCTCTGGTCTCTCTCTGGTCTCTCTCTGGTCTCTCTCTCTGGTCTCTCTCTCTGGTCTCTCTCTCTGGTCTCTCTCTCTGGTCTCTCTCTGGTCTCTCTGGTCTCTCTCTGGTCTCTCTCTGGTCTCTCTCTGGTCCCTCTCTCTGGTCCCTCTCTCTGGTCCCTCTCTCTGGTCTCTCTCTGGTCTCTCTCTGGTCTCTCTCTGGTCTCTCTCTGGTCTCTCTCTGGTCTCTCTCTGGTCTCTCTCTGGTCCCTCTCTCTGGTCCCTCTCTCTGGTCCCTCTCTCTGGTCCCTCTCTCTGGTCCCTCTCTCTGGTCTCTCTCTCTGGTCTCTCTCTCTGGTCTCTCTCTCTGGTCTCTCTCTCTGGTCTCTCTCTGGTCTCTCTCTGGTCTCTCTCTGGTCTCTCTCTCTGGTCCCTCTCTCTGGTCCCTCTCTCTGGTCCCTCTCTCTGGTCCCTCTCTCTGGTCCCTCTCTCTGGTCCCTCTCTCTGGTCCCTCTCTCTGGTCTCTCTCTGGTCTCTCTCTGGTCTCTCTCTGGTCTCTCTCTGGTCCCTCTCTCTGGTCTCTCTCTCTGGTCTCTCTCTGGTCTCTCTCTCTGGTCCCTCTCTCTGGTCCCTCTCTCTGGTCCCTCTCTCTGGTCCCTCTCTCTGGTCCCTCTCTCTGGTCTCTCTCTGGTCTCTCTCTGGTCCCTCTCTGGTCTCTCTCTCTGGTCCCTCTCTCTGGTCCCTCTCTCTGGTCCCTCTCTCTGGTCTCTCTCTCTGGTCTCTCTCTGGTCTCTCTCTCTGGTCTCTCTCTCTGGTCTCTCTCTGGTCTCTCTCTCTGGTCTCTCTCTCTGGTCTCTCTCTGGTCTCTCTCTCTGGTCTCTCTCTGGTCTCTCTCTCTGGTCCCTCTCTCTGGTCTCTCTCTGGTCCCTCTCTCTGGTCCCTCTCTCTGGTCTCTCTCTCTGGTCTCTCTCTGGTCTCTCTCTCTGGTCTCTCTCTCTGGTCTCTCTCTGGTCTCTCTCTGGTCTCTCTCTGGTCTCTCTCTCTGGTCTCTCTCTGGTCTCTCTCTCTGGTCTCTCTCTGGTCTCTCTCTCTGGTCTCTCTCTGGTCTCTCTCTGGTCCCTCTCTCTGGTCTCTCTCTCTGGTCTCTCTCTCTGGTCTCTCTCTGGTCTCTCTCTCTGGTCTCTCTCTGGTCTCTCTCTGGTCTCTCTCTGGTCTCTCTCTCTGGTCTCTCTCTGGTCTCTCTCTCTGGTCTCTCTCTGGTCTCTCTCTCTGGTCTCTCTCTGGTCTCTCTCTCTGGTCTCTCTCCGGTCTTTCTCTGGTCTCAGTGAAACTTCCTCCAAAGATGTTAAAACGTTTCTTCTGTTTCTCTCACGGACAGAACTTTTACAATGGGACCAGAACGACACCGATCTGCTCCCGTGAGGTCTCAGTCACCGCAGTCACCTCGCTCACGCCTTCTCGGGTTCGGGATCCGGTCCAAGTCCATGAGACGAGTCCAAAAGTCCCGGCCCAGACCAGAGCCTCAGTCGCGGGTTCAGACTCAGACCTTTCAGGACCATAGAAGCTTCTGTCGCGGCTGGTTTTGTCATGGGGTCTTTGGCCTCATGGTCTCGCTCTCTGGTCTCGCTCTCTGGTCTCGCTCTCTGGTCTCGCTCTCTGGTCTCGCTCTCTGGTCTCGCTCTCTGGTCTCGCTCTCTGGTCTCGCTCTCTGGTCTCGCTCTCTGGTCTCGCTCTCTGGTCTCGCTCTCTGGTCTCGCTCTCTGGTCTCGCTCTCTGGTCTCGCTCTCTGGTCTCGCTCTCTGGTCTCGCTCTCTGGTCTCGCTCTCTGGTCTCGCTCTCTGGTCTCGCTCTCTGGTCTCGCTCTCTGGTCTCGCTCTCTGGTCTCGCTCTCTGGTCTCGCTCTCTGGTCTCGCTCTCTGGTCGCGCTCTCTGGTCTCGCTCTCTGGTCTCGCTCTCTGGTCTCGCTCTCTGGTCTCGCTCTCTGGTCTCGCTCTCTGGTCTCGCTCTCTGGTCTCGCTCTCTGGTCTCGCTCTCTGGTCTCGCTCTCTGGTCTCGCTCTCTGGTCTCGCTCTCTGGTCTCGCTCTCTGGTCTCGCTCTCTGGTCTCGCTCTCTGGTCTCGCTCTCTGGTCTCGCTCTCTGGTCTCGCTCTCTGGTCTCGCTCTCTGGTCTCGCTCTCTGGTCTCGCTCTCTGGTCTCGCTCTCTGGTCTCGCTCTCTGGTCTCGCTCTCTGGTCTCGCTCTCTGGTCTCGCTCTCTGGTCTCGCTCTCTGGTCTCGCTCTCTGGTCTCGCTCTCTGGTCTCGCTCTGGTCTCGCTCTCTGGTCTCGCTCTCTGGTCTCGCTCTCTGGTCTCGCTCTCTGGTCTCGCTCTCTGGTCTCGCTCTCTGGTCTCGCTCTCTGGTCTCGCTCTCTGGTCTCGCTCTCTGGTCTCGCTCTCTGGTCTCGCTCTCTGGTCTCGCTCTCTGGTCTCGCTCTCTGGTCTCGCTCTCTGGTCTCGCTCTCTGGTCTCGCTCTCTGGTCTCGCTCTCTGGTCTCGCTCTCTGGTCTCGCTCTCTGGTCTCGCTCTCTGGTCTCGCTCTCTGGTCTCGCTCTCTGGTCTCGCTCTCTGGTCCCGCTCTCTGGTCCCGCTCTCTGGTCCCGCTCTCTGGTCCCGCTCTCTGGTCCCGCTCTCTGGTCCCGCTCTCTGGTCCCGCTCTCTGGTCCCGCTCTCTGGTCCCGCTCTCTGGTCCCGCTCTCTGGTCCCGCTCTCTGGTCCCGCTCTCTGGTCCCGCTCTCTGGTCCCGCTCTCTGGTCCCGCTCTCTGGTCCCGCACTCTGGTCCCGCACTCTGGTCCCGCTCTCTGGTCCCGCTCTCTGGTCCCGCTCTCTGGTCCCGCTCTCTGGTCCCGCTCTCTGGTCTCGCTCTCTGGTCTCGCTCTCTGGTCTCGCTCTCTGGTCTCGCTCTCTGGTCTCGCTCTCTGGTCTCGCTCTCTGGTCTCGCTCTCTGGTCTCGCTCTCTGGTCTCGCTCTCTGGTCTCGCTCTCTGGTCTCGCTCTCTGGTCTCGCTCTCTGGTCTCGCTCTCTGGTCTCGCTCTCTGGTCTCGCTCTCTGGTCTCGCTCTCTGGTCTCGCTCTCTGGTCTCGCTCTCTGGTCTCGCTCTCTGGTCTCGCTCTCTGGTCTCGCTCTCTGGTCTCGCTCTCTGGTCTCGCTCTCTGGTCTCGCTCTCTGGTCTCGCTCTCTGGTCTCGCTCTCTGGTCTCGCTCTCTGGTCTCGCTCTCTGGTCTCGCTCTCTGGTCTCGCTCTCTGGTCTCGCTCTCTGGTCTCGCTCTCTGGTCTCGCTCTCTGGTCTCGCTCTCTGGTCTCGCTCTCTGGTCTCGCTCTCTGGTCTCGCTCTCTGGTCTCGCTCTCAGATCCAGACCTTTCAGGACGATTAAAGGAGATCTGGTTTTACAGCTTCCGTTGTTGCTGGTTTTGTCATCTGGTCTGTGGCCTCAGGACCAGAGGGACCCGGCCTCTCGGAGCTGTTAAACTCACACATAGTCTCGTGTTTCTTCAGGATCTGCTCCTGATGGTCCCAGAGCAGAAGTGAAACTGGTCCAGGATCCTCAAGATTCATCCATTTGTTTTTAGAGACTTTATTAAACACAAAGTTATTCCAACGAGTCTAGTCCCCCATGGTTTTATTCATCACTGGTCTCACATCTGGTTTCTCTACAGCCTCAGTCCTGGGTCTACAGCCTCAGTCCTGGGTCTACAGCCTCAGTCCTGGGTCTACAGCCTCAGACCTGGGTCTACAGCCTCAGTCCTGGGTCTACAGCCTCAGACCTGGGTCTACAGCCTCAGTCCTGGGTCTACAGCCTCAGTCCTGGGTCTACAGCCTCAGTCCTGGGTCTACAGCCTCAGTCCTGGGTCTACAGCCTCAGACCTGGGTCTACAGCCTCAGTCCTGGGTCTACAGCCTCAGACCTGGGTCTACAGCCTCAGTCCTGGGTCTACAGCCTCAGTCCTGGGTCTACAGCCTCAGTCCTGGGTCTACAGCCTCAGTCCTGGGTCTACAGCCTCAGACCTGGGTCTACAGCCTCAGTCCTGGGTCTACAGCCTCAGACCTGGGTCTACAGCCTCAGACCTGGGTCTACAGCCTCAGTCCTGGGTCTACAGTCTCAGTCCTGGGTCTACAGGACTGAGACTGATGTATGATGTAATAAATAAACACACACAAAGCTGGACAAGTAAACCAAGAAGGTATTCTCTTCCGTGGTTCAATAGTGACATTTGGCGAATGGCTAAAAATCGTGACCTTGCACTCAAAAAGTTCTTCAAATCTAGGAATAATACCGACCATCTCATTTTCACTGGCCTCAGGAATAAAGTCACAAGTGAGCTGCGCAAAGCTAAAACTAAATATTTTATAAAAATGATAGAAGAAGCAAATGGAAGCAGCTCCAAACTATGGCAACATATAAACAAATTGACAAATTCTAATCGGAAAAATCTTCAAATGACAGATTGCCTTAAAATTTATGATAATTATGTTAATGACAATCAGTCAATTGCAAACGAGTTCAACAAATTCTTTGTTGAATCAGTCCACGATCTTGCCAAACCATTCAAGGGCAAATTGCCTTCTGAGAGCAAAGCTCAGCGTAGCAGAACAGATCATTTTAAAATCAGAGAAGTTTTGCATGATGAAGTAAGGAAAATTATAGTCAATATGAAAAATTCTACATCAAGAGACATACATAATCTCAATGTAGCTCTAATTAAAAAACATCTAAGCAGCTTACTTGATCCTATAACTTACCTTGTAAACTTGTCAATACAAACAAACACTTTCCCACAGAGCTGGAAGATTGCTGTAATCACTCCAATTTATAAGTCAGGCGACAAAGACCAAGCCTGCAACTACAGGCCTATTTCCATTCTTCCTGTAGTTTCCAAAGTGCTGGAAAAAATTGTAGCTGGGCAATTAATAGAACATCTTGATAATAACCAACTGTTGCATCCCCAGCAGTTTGGGTTCAGACAAAAATACAGCACAGAAACAGCCAACTGCTTTTTGTTGGAACAGATCAAAGGTTCACTGGATAAAGGGAATGTCGTAGGCGCTGTGTTTTTAGATCTGAAGAAGGCCTTCGACACAGTGGACCATTGCATCTTATTGCAGAAATTACAGCAATTTCAATTTTCAGCTACAGCTCTGTCATGGTTTGAGTCCTACCTGGAGGGTAGAGAACAATGTGTGAAAGTAGGAAGCGTTAAATCCACCCTGAGTCCAAATGACTTAGGAGTGCCTCAAGGGTCAGTCCTAGGACCGTTGCTGTTTTCAATGTATATAAATGATCTCCCAGATTGCTGTCAGGGTGTAAACTGCCAGCTTTATGCTGACGACACAGTTATTTATGTGTCAGCAAAAACATCTGCACTGGCTGGGCAGCTGTTAACACAGGCTTCACATAACATCTCAAGATGGCTTCAACTGTCCCATTTAACTTTAAATGTAAAGAAAACATTCTCAATATGTTTCTCTATCAGCCGGAGGTCCCCTGACAGCACCTTTGAGGTTCAATTAGAACATGAACCCATTCAGGAGGTTCATGAAACAAAATACTTGGGCATTATCTTAGATAAACACCTGAAGTTCCAAAGTCAAGCAAATAACGTCTGCAGGAAAGTCAAATCAAATCTGAACTGTTTTCGTTTTATAAGAAGAGAGTTATCACATCACGCGGCTTTATTGTATATGCATGCAATGGTTTTTTCACATCTGTCATACTGCATTACAGCATGGTCACAAACATCGGCATCCACTCTGAAACCAGTCACCTCTCTGTATAAACAGGCAATTAAGATATTCGACAGGAAACCTTTGAGATGGCATCATTGTGATATCATACAAAAGCACAAGCTTTTTACTTTTGAAAACTTTATAAATTTTAGTATAATGAAATTGACTTTTAAATGTCTGAACAACTGTGTGTCACCACTGTTCTCTGGCCTCATGGTGAGGTTTCAGGGCTCTCTCAGACCCTCCACCAGAGCCTCAGTTAGCGGGGATTGTGTGCTCCCAAAGTTTAGAAAATCTTTTGGACAGTCGAGCTTCTCCTTTAGAGGGGCTACACTGTGGAACTCTCTCCCCACTGCACTGAAACTGCAGAATAATATCAACATCTTTACCAGAGAGCTTAAACAGTGGCTCAAATCGGGCCAAACTTGTTCCCATGTTTAAAACATGTCTTATCTTGTTTAATAATGTGTTTTATTGTAACCTTGTTTCCTATTGTGTTTTATCTTTGTAACCTAAAAGCCCCCTATGGACAGGTGTTGAAAATTAGCACTTGTGCTATAACACTTTAAACAATGCATCTGGTTCGTCCAATGTTAATTGCTATGTCCATATTAAATAAATAAATAAATGAAATGAAATGAAATACAGCCTCAGTCCTGGGTCTACAGCCTCAGTCCTGGGTCTACAGCCTCAGTCCTGGGTCTACAGCCTCAGTCCTGGGTCTACAGCCTCAGTCCTGGGTCTAACCGGAGCACCCGGAGGAAATCTATGCAGACAGGGAAAGAACAAATTCCACTCAGAAAGGCCTCGTTCCAACCGGGATTTGAACCAACATTAACCACGCTCGCACACATACATCTGGGTGGGTGTGTGTGTGTGTGTGTGTATGTGTGTATGTGTGTATGTGTGTATGTGTATGTGTATGTGTATGTGTATGTGTATGTGTGTGTGTGTGTGTATGTGTGTGTGTGTGTGTGTGTGTGTGTGTGTGTGTGTGTGTGTGTGTCTCAGCAGAATCAAACGTGATCAGATAAAAACTAAACCATGAAATCTGAGCCTATGATCTCAGCTTTGTTTTGATCAAACTGGAACCAAGAGGAAGAGGAAGAACTGACCTGACTGGATCCTCTGCTCTCTCTCTGTTCTCTCTCTCTCTCTGTTCTCTCTCTCTCTCTGTTCTCTCTCTCTCTCTCTGTTCTCTCTCGTTGGCTTGTGTCTCTGTGTGCGTCTCTCTCTCTCTCTCTCTGGGTGATGTCACATGAACCTCAGAGATCCTGGTTCTACAAACAGCTTACTGAGTGCTTTCACCTGCTGCAGCCGCTCCCACCTCCAGTGTGTGTGTGTGTGGGTGTGTGTGTGTGTGTGTGTGTGTGTGTGTGGTCCCAGGAAATCCTCCCCAAACAGGAAGAGTCCCGCCCCCAGCAGAGCTCAGCCTGACAGACCGGTGAGACAGGTCCAGTCACACCCAGAGAGAGAGACCAGAGAGAGAGACCACAGAGAGAGACCAGAGAGAGAGACCACAGAGAGAGACCAGAGAGAGAGACCACAGAGAGAGACCAGAGAGAGAGACCACAGAGAGAGACCAGAAAGAGACCAGAGAGAGACACCAGAGAGAGAGACCACAGAGAGAGACCAGAGAGAGACCAGAGAGAGACACCAGAGAGACACCAGAGAGAGAAAAACATATTCTTCTGTACAGACTCTGACAGAGACTGAAGCAGAGTTCACGATGAGTTGCAGTAGCAGCCTGTGTCCAGCAGAGGGCGCCATTGTGCCGTAAACAGTGCTCTCCGTTAAAATGACCATCTGATCACTACCGTGACCAGTCCGCTGTGGTTGATCCGTGTCCAGAGGAAGTAGTTACTAATCTCCATCTCTATTGTCTATATCTATATTATTCTACTTATTTATTTAGCACAGTTTCAAAGCGCTGCACAGAAAACTACACTGATAAAAAGTAAATAAGCAGAAATAAAAAGCAAAAACTGAAAGATCAAGGCTATGCTCACACTCAGAGAGCAGCCGTCCTCCTGTGGACTCACCACCTGCAGAGGGTCAGTGAGGGGCTGGTGCTATGAGACTTGGGTGGCATCTCTGACTGCCACCCCCCTGACCCAGAAATGGATTAAAGGGTAGAAAATGGATGGATGGATGGAAAAAGCAAAAACTAAGATGTTAAAAAAAAATACTTAAAAGATGTCATCAAAAATATACTTGGGTAAAAACAGACATAGGACCATGTGACTCACAGAGAAGTATCTGGTACTGTATTCTAGCGACCTACTTCCCGCAAACCAGTGTTCAGGGAAATTCCTTGGTAACCATGGCTTCCAGCAGCACTCTGACCAATCTCTGTCGGTTAGAACACTTCAGGACCAGCTCGGCCTGGATAGAACCAGGACCAAGAGGGACAGGGACAGGGACAGGGACAGGGACAGGGACTAGACTAGACTAGACTAGACTAGACTAGACTAGACTAGACTAGACTAGACTAGACTAGACTAGACTAGACTAGACTAGAGCAGAGCAGAGCAGGGCAGGGGCAGGGGCAGGGGCAGGGGCAGGGTAGGGTAGGGTAGGGTAGGGTAGGGTAGGGTAGGGTAGGGTAGGGTAGGGTAGAGTAGAGTAGAGTAGAATAGAGTAGGGTAGAGTAGAATAGAGTAGAATAGAGTAGGGTAGAGTAGAGTAGGGTAGAGTAGAGTAGAGTAGAGTAGGGTAGAGTAGAATAGAGTAGAATAGAGTAGGGTAGAGTAGAGTAGAGTTGGTGGAAATGAGGCTACAGTGTGTTGTTGTTGTGTGTCTGATTGTGTTGCTTCAGCAGTGACTGGTCCTTTGTGTGTGACCCACAAACAGAGGAGCCTCCAGAGTCCAGCACATTCCCCGGTCCCTCTGAGAGACTGGTCCCACTGAGTCCCTCTGAGAGACCGGTCCCATGAGTCCCTCTGAGAGACCGGTCCCACTGAGTCCTTCTGAGTCCCTCTGAGAGACCGGTCCCTCTGAGTCCCTCTGAGAGACCGGTCCCACCGAGTCCCTCTGAGAGACCGGTCCCACTGAGTCCTTCTGAGTCCCTCTGAGAGACCGGTCCCACTGAGTCCTTCTGAGTCCCTCTGAGAGACCGGCCCCGCTGAGTCCCTATGAGAGACCGGTCCCGCTGAGTCCCTATGAGAGACCGGTCCCGCTGAGTCCCTCTGAGAGACCGGTCCCTCTGAGTCCCTCTGAGAGACCGGTCCCACTGAGTCCCTCTGAGAGACCGGTCCCACTGAGTCCCTCTGAGAGACCGGTCCCACTGAGTCCTTCTGAGTCCCTCTGAGAGACCGGCCCCGCTGGGTCCCATCTGCAGACTGTGGTATAAAGTCAGATCCAGTTTTAATAGTTTATCTACATCTTGGAGATTAAAGATCAAAGCCACATTTGCAGCAGTACATTTGTTCTAAACCCTCAGTCCTTCAGTCGGACTCTGGACTAAAGCAGACTCTGGACTAAAGCAGACTCTGGACTAAAGCAGACTCTGGACCAAAGCAGACTCTGGACCAAAGCAGACTCTGGACCAAAGCAGACTCTGGACCAAAGCAGACTCTGGACCAAAGCAGACTCTGGACCAAAGCAGACTCTGGACCAAAGCAGACTCCGGACCAAAGCAGACTCCGGACCAAAGCAGACTCCGGACTAAAGCAGACTCCGGACTAGACTCTGGACTAAAGCAGACTCTGGACTAAAGCAGACTCTGGACTAAAGCAGACTCTGGACTAAAGCAGACTCTGGACTAAAGCAGACTCTGGACTAAAGCAGACTCCGGACCAAAGCAGACTCTGGACTAAAGCAGACTCTGGACTAAAGCAGACTCCGGACTAGACTCTGGACTAAAGCAGACTCTGGACTAAAGCAGACTCTGGACTAAAGCAGACTCTGGACTAAAGCAGACTCTGGACTAAAGCAGACTCTGGACTAAAGCAGACTCTGGACTAAAGCAGACTCTGGACCAAAGCAGACTCTGGACTAAAGCAGACTCTGGACTAGGGGTGGGAACCTAAGGGTACCTCACGATACGATACGATACACGATACAAAGCTCACGATAACGATAATATCACGATAACAATATCACGATAACGATTAGGGATGCACCGATCCGATACTGGTATCCATATCGGCGCCGATACCAGAAAAAATACTGGATCGGATATCTGCGTAGAGAGAGGCGCCGTGCTGCCGATCCATTTTCTTTTCTTTTTTTTTTTAAATTATATATATATTTTTTTAAATTATATATTTTTTTTAATAGTAAGTTAGTAAGTAAGTAAGCTAAGAGTGGCGCTCTACAACAACAACAACACAGCGTGGAGCAGGAAAGAGCGTTGAAGAGCTTGGCCTTCAGATAGACACAACAAGGGAAAAGTACTGGCTTCTGCACATTGATAGAATGATGAGTTTAACTTTAACAAAAGTTGCTTAAAAGTGTTATGAAATCTCACACACAGTTAATATAAGTACATTTATATTCAGTAAATGTATAAGGTCTAATACAGTGTTGGAATGGTTAATGTGAACATTGAGCAGCTCTTTATAGTTGCAGTTTTGCACATTTATGTTGAATCCATTTTTATCTGGAAAGTTTAGCTTTAGTTCATCCACTGCTTTTGCAGTTACTTGAACAAAGAGTTCAATTATTAAATACATTTTAGCATGATCATTTCCGGTATCAGTCAATATCGGTATCGGCAGAAACCCATAGCTCTGGTATCGGTATCGGTATCGGTAGTAAAAAATCTGGATCGGTGCATCTCTAATAACGATTTTATCACGATATGACGATTATTGATATATTGGTCAGAAATATACAATATGCCAATTTATGGCATAAATAAAAGAAAAATTACTCTTTATTTCATGATAAATAGAATGGATATGCGTAATGTAGCTATATATTAAGTATTGATACCAATTCAAAAAAAAAATTTGTAAAAAAAAAAAAACGTTTTTTTTTTCAAAATCGATATCGATACTTGGCAAATGCATATCGATAATCGAATCGTGGGAGAAAGTATCGCAATATTTCAAAGAAATCATTATATTGTCACACCCCTACTCTGAACTAAAGCAGACTCTGGACTAAAGCAGGTTGGACCAGTTTCTTAATAAGTCTAAGTGAGACCCTCCCCCTCAGTGTCCTGTCCCTGACCCCGTCTGGGCTCCTCTCAAAGGATCCTCCAGGGGCCAGATTGTCTGGTCTCTCTCTCAGGAGAGAGAGAGACCAGAGAGAGAGACCAAAGAGAGAGACCCAAAGAGAGACCAGAGAGAGACCAGAGAGAGACCAGAGAGAGACCAGAGAGAGACCAGAGAGAGAGACCAGAGAGAGACCAGAGAGAGACCAGAGAGAGAGAGACCAGAGAGAGACCAAAGAGAGAGACCAGAGAGAGACCAGAGAGAGAGACCAGAGAGAGAGACCAGAGAGAGAGACCAGAGAGAGAGAGACCAGAGAGAGACCAAAGAGAGACCAGAGAGAGACCAGAGAGAGACCAGAGAGAGACCAGAGAGAGAGACCAGAGAGAGAGACCAGACAGAGACCAGAGAGAGAGACCAGAGAGACCAGAGAGACCAGAGAGAGAGACCAGAGAGAGACCAGACCAAATAACTATGAAACGGAAAAATAACCCTAAACACCATAGTAAGTGTAGTAAGTATATGTACTATGTGTACTATACCATATGTACTATACCATATGTACTATGTGTACTATACCATATGTACTATGTGTACTATACCATATGTACTATGTGTACTATACCATATGTACTAGGGCTGGGATAAACGATTATTTTTTAAACGATTAATCTAACGATTATTTTTTCGATGCATCGATTAATATAACGATTAGCTTTTTCGCTTCGATTCGATTTCGATTCGATTCGATTTTGATTCGATTCGATTCTCGATTATCTCCCCATTAATTGACTAATATTGATGTATACATGTTGATTTAAATATTTTAATGAAAAAAACATGAATTCCTTCACAAAAAATATTTATTGCTTGCTCTTAAAATTCAAAAATAAGACATTCTTAGAGGTAGCATAAAACCTTAAAGCCTTGAAAACACAGCTTACTGAAAAAAGTGCATCTTATCATTCTTGAAACAAACATTTGATGCTTAGCATTCAATAAAAATATGAAAAAGTTCAGCCAAATACTTGTGTAGAGCAACTAAAAGAAAACAGTAACCAATGTAAACTTGAAGGCTTTAAGCTAAACAAAGAGTGCTTTTCCAGCAAAAACAGTGGGAGCCATCAGCCTGTCATGGCGTCCTTCCTGAACCAACAGAGTTTAACATTTAAGTTGAAGACACATAGGCCTATATTACTGAAGTCCATTAATTAAAGTGCATCTCTTAAATTCTTCATTCATATAAAAATAACAGTCAAAACTCTGCCACTCACCTTTTTCTTAAACTCAAAATTCAAAAATAAAATTCAAGTAAGAGTGTACAAGAGAAAAACAATGCATTGTGTAGCAAATAAAAAGGTCAACCAGTCATCCTTTCTTTTAGAGTTACTGAAAGAATACAGTAGAAGTCATCTCAGAGGACTTAAAACAACATTGAAGTCACCAACACAGATCAGAGAATCAATCAACAGTTAAACACATTAAGGATATTGAACACATGTTGAAAAATGTCCATATACGGCGGGCATGACAGTGAATAATACATGTAGGGGCTGTTACGGGCGCCAATATTCCGTTTGATACAAAGAAAGACAGACTAGTGTAAGCTGCAGAGTGGCCACAGGACGCGTCATCAGCCTACGTCATCAGCCTACGTCATCAGCCTACGTCATCAGCCTACGTCATCAGCCTACGTCATCAGCCTACGTCATCAGCCTACGTCATCAGCCTACGTCAGCAGCCTACGTCAGCAGCCTACGTCATCAGCCTACGTCAGCAGCCTACGTCATCAGCCTACGTCATCAGCCTACGTCATCAGCCTACGTCAGCAGCCTACGTCATCAGCCTACGTCATCAGCCTACGTCATCAGCCTACGTCAGCAGCCTACGTCAGCAGCCTACGTCATCAGCCTACGTCATCAGCCTACGTCAGCAGCCGCGGACTGCTATGAAAACATTAGCTTTGTGGTTTCACAGGCGCAGTTGACTGCTTAAACTAAACTTTGCACGAAACTTTGACTCTTAAAACCCACATGTGACAAAACGGAATCATCAACATCTCGCCTCAAATTGCATTAAAAGTGACATTCGTGTCTGAATTCGTTCGTATTTTAACTTTTAAAGAAATTCACGGTCCGCCATCTTGGTTTGCTTCGGCTGCCGTGGGACGCGCATGCGCAGGTTTGCATTACATCATAAACAGCTGAGGCTGTGCATCTCTTCAAGGCAGTGTATCTCGGCGTTACACCGGCTTGCACTTCTCTACGGCACTCGCATTGCTACCGCTCGCCGCCATCTTTGTTTTGTGTGTGACGCACCGACGCGCATATTATACGTCGGTGTATTTTTTGCGTCGACGTCACCGATTACGTCGACGCGTTGTCCCAGCCCTAATATGTACTAAACCATATGTACTATGTGTACTATACCACATGTACTATGTGTACTATACCATATGTACTATACAACATGTACTGTGTACTATACCATATGTACTATGTGTACTATACCATATGTACTATGTGTACTATACCATATGTACTATACCGTATGTACTATGTGTACAATACCACATGTACTATGTGTACTATACCATATGTACTATGTGTACTATTCCATATGTACTATACCATATGTACTATGTGTACTATTCCATATGTACTATGTGTACTATACCATATGTACTATGTGTACTATACCACATGTACTATGTGTACTATACCATATGTACTATACCATATGTACTATGTGTACTATACCACATGTACTATGTGTACTATACCACATGTACTATGTGTACTATACCATATGTACTATACCACATGTACTGTGTACTATACCATATGTACTATGTGTACTATACCATATGTACTATGTGTACTATACCATATGTACTATACCGTATGTACTATGTGTACAATACCACATGTACTATGTGTACTATACCATATGTACTATGTGTACTATTCCATATGTACTATACCATATGTACTATGTGTACTATACGATATGTACTATGTGTACTATACCATATGTACTATGTGTACTATACCATATGTACTATGTGTACTATACCATATGTACTATGTGTACATATGTACTAAACCATATGTACTATGTGTACTATACCATATGTACAATACCATATGTACTATACCATATGTACTATAACATA